ATGAGAAGGGCTTTTGCAAACTTATCAGGGACAGAGTGTAATACCAGAGAAAAAGGACTGGATCTTCGCTTTACCACAAGCCTTCAGTAAAATGCTGCTGTATTCATGTCATCCCAGGAAAACCTTGGTGACAAAATGGTTCCTGATTTCCCTCTTGCCAAGAAAAGGTGATTGCTACCAACTCAATCCCTGGTATCAATTTTATTCTAAAGCAGCTCAGCTGTGCTGGGAAGATGTATTGCACGCTGTCACCCACTTTCTTCTCCATCCACCTTGTCTAGGACCAAGAGAGGTGGCTCTGTGAAATCCTCTGTTGTGCACCCCTTTACATTGTGACCTGCAACATTTTTATGTCCAGTTATCCCTTGCACAAGTGTCCAAATTATGCCTCAAATTATGTATCTAATGATCACAAACAAATCGAGCTTTTTAACAGTATTGTTAAAAGCTCAGAGAAGTTCCATTTCACCTGGAAAAAATGCTTTTGGAAATATGAGCTAGTCAGAAGGCCATAGGTCTAGAAGGGTCCTCCTGGGGCATAAAGTTCCCCACTATCTTGGCCAACTACTTTACATAATCCCTTTCATAAACTTGCCAAATTCCATCTTAAAACTAGCTAGTTTTTTGTCCTGGCTCTTTTTGGGAGGCTGTTCCAGATCTTTTGGGAGGCTTTTCCTTATCCTCCCCCTTTCCTACTTTCCAGCTTATTTTAATTCATGGTTATTTTATAGCCACATGTAAATGCCAGATATCCTTTACCTTTAATAGTCTGTCTTTTGCCATGGTGTTATTGTCATTATGAATTTCTAGAGACTGGGTCATATCTTTTCTGAGCCTGTTTGACTAGGCTAAACCAAGCAATAGTCTTTGAGTCTTCTTTCATAGACAAACTGTTTACTTCCCTGATTGTCGTAGAAGTCTTTGTCTGTACCTCTTCCATTTTGAATGAATCTTTTTTTTGAACATGGGTGACCAGATTGCATGTGGGTTTGTAAGAAATGAGAATTGTGTGCAGAATAGCACCAGATGAAGTCTCACTAATGCAGTGGTTCTCAACCTTCTTAGCCTCAAGGCACCCTTGGCACTCATTAGGTTCAGGCTCAAGGCACTCATCAGGCCCAAGGTACTCCTTGAAATGCCAGCTCTTAGTGAAAAAACAAATGAAAACTACAGAAAAATAATAAAGCAATTTTTTTTGCAGAAAACTGAGAAAGACCGCAACAGGTTAGAATCTTTTTAACGTTATGGATTCCTGTGTGAAATCTTTGGGTTTATCTTGTGAATCATGTTTGTACATCTTACAATACTAGTGTTGTGTGGCACCCCCTGGCACCCTTAAAAGGATTACAAGGCATCCCAGGGAGCCACAGCACCTTGTTTAAGTATCACTGGACTAATGCCTTGAAAGCTGCTGTTAATACCTCCCATAATGGCATTTCCATTTCAGATAGGGAGGTATTAACAGCAGCTTTCCCATGTCCAGACAAGCGCGCACATGGGGTTTGCAGCACCACAGACCCACCTGTGGTGCTGAAAACCACACGCGTTACATATACAGATGTTTGCTGCACTGCTAATTTGTAGCATGGAGACCCTGGTGTCAAAAAAACCTGGACCAAAAAAAAGGTGGGGCAGTGCATGTGGTGGCAGTGTGTGTTGCCTGAAACTGGAGCCTGGCCAGCCAGAGCCACACGCAAGCTGCCAGCCAGGCTGTGTGCACCTGGATCCCTGGGAGGCCCCTAGAGCCGCAGGTAAGGCTGCTGGGGCCAGCTCAGGTGTTGGCCCCAGCCTCCTCTATCCCACCCAGAGCATTTTTCCCTGAGCTAACCCCATATACAGAGGCGTGTGCTTGGGCAAAAAGCAGTGGCACAGATTTGTGCTGCTGCTTTTTTTTCCCCTGGCAACTGCATGTCCCTGCTTGTGGGGATGTGGCCAGTATGTCCTAGGAATAGATTGTATTTGCCCTTCTATGGCCACATCACGTTTGTGGCTCATAGTCATCCTGTGATGTGTTCTACTTCCTGTTCCCACCACTACTTGTGCATGTTATCCAATGACACTTTAATACAAAAGGCATTAAAAGTAGACCCTGGTACAGAACTCAGAACTACCCTTTCCAGATTTCCTTTGCCTGTACAGAGTCAACCTCAAAAAGAAGGATGGGGAGAGTGTTCACCCTTGCCCGATCTGACCTCTAACCTAGTCACTTGCTTGACCTGCATAAGGTGATGAATTTCCTACTTCTAGGCAAGTGCATGGATGGCATGTTATAGGATCCCCCGCTGAGGAGACTGCTATAGGACAGCAGCTTTTATTCTCCTCTGGCTGTGTTTTAAGACAAAAGGATGCGTCCCTCCTTTGGATCCAGTAACATAGGTGCCTAAGTGCTTCGAATCCATTTCACAGGCGGCTAACTCAGGGCTGCATGGAGGTGCTTAGGATCTGTAGAGGTTAATTGCAGACACCACCATCTCTTCAGTATTTCTTGGTTAGTTTTGGAAAACAGTAAACAAATTGACAGGTGTTTTCTTTGCAAAAACAAAATGGTAAAATGCATGGCAACATGCTGAATTCTCTGCCTTCTTAGGTAGAAGCCACATTCCCCTGCTTGCAGTCATGGACCACAGGGGACCCAGATCCATATGCATATCTTTGCACCCCTTGCAGCTGTTAGTGAACCTCTTCATTGAGGTTGTTTACAAACTTCGGCAGGTCACCATTCCAGCATTCAGTAGTCCTTTTATACTTCTGAAGTTAATTTCTACAGTCATTAGCTAGGAGCTTAATTTTTTAAGCTATAGGTAAGGTTGTACAGCTATATCTTTCTGTAGTGAAGAATGATTCTCATAACTATGGAATACACAGAACAGTGTGCATTCCACAAAATGAAAGAAAATATTAATGGGGAACTCAGGAGTGTCAACCTCACCCCTTCTTGTGGGCTGGATCAGTAATGGGGTTCTAATGAGCTGGATCTGGATGCATTTGGCAGTGGCATGGGGATTATTGTACCTATCACCAGCCTTCTGCCACTGATGTGGATCCCCAGCAGGACTTTGGACTCTGGATTTTGGTGATGGCATCCTCTGGCTCGTTTACAAACCCTGCAGGCTAAATGACATCACTCCGCAGGCTGGAAGTTTGACCCTCCTGATTTTATATCCTGGTACTTGATCTATTGACAAATGACAAGTGGTAGTACAGTAATAGTTTCGAAACTCAGCAGAGCCTGCTTTCTGAATGGGGAGTTATATCTTTTCTTCTCTGTAGGCCTAGAGTAGTGGTCACCAACCAGTGGATCTTGATCCACTGGTACATCTTGGAGCCTCTTGGAGTCGCTCCAAGGCTGGGGTGGGGGGGCTGAGTGCCTGTGTTCATGCATGCGCATGCCCTAGGCCAGCAGGTTAGTCCATTGGGGGAGGGAAGGGGCGGGGGCTAGATCGAGGCCCTCGCGATGAGGGACAGTGCCGCAGAGGCAGGAGCAGGTATAAGTTGAGTGGGGCCCTGGCCGTGTGGGACTTACCTACTGGGGAGGTTAACCCCCAAATAATTTTTTCTGCCTCAATCTGCCCTCCCCATAGACTTATCTGCTTGGGGGGGTGAGGGGGGGCATTGGTGCACAGTAGATTTTAGGTTGCTTTTAAATGCCAAAGGTAATTTCTTATTTTAAAAAGTTGGAGACCACTGGCCTAGAGTGTCACCTTCTTGCTAGCACATGGTACCTTTAAAAAAACCCAAACCATTGACTATATTTCTTTTTTGCTTTTTTTAGGTGATACTGTCACGATAGGAGATGTATCATTTAAACTCAAAACTCCAAAGAACCCAGAACTTGTGCCACAGAATTACAGTAAGAAACTCCTTTCCTTTTGATAGTGAATGTGTCATGTTCAATATTGGGGCCCAATTCCCATGCATCTAGCTCTATGAGCAGCTTTGAAACTAGGATTTATAAGGCTCCAGTGTGAAAGACTAATTAAATTATTAAGTGACGGTTTACAGAATTGGCTTCTTGGCATCCAGTTCCACCAAGTACTGTATTTACTTGAATCCAAGATGAGGTTTACTTTCCCCATTTAACATGGAGGGAGAAAAAGCCCCTTATCTTGGATTTGAGTACAAGTGGAGGGAGCCCACCCTCCTCCTGCCACCTCTGTACCCTCCTTCTGCCACTTACTCCTCAGCTCTGGCTCCAGGCCCCACCCAACCATGTAGCAGTAGCAGCGGCAGCTCTGGCTCTGGGGCTAGGGTCAGAGTTGTCACTGCCATAACCACTGCTTCATAGTCCAATGGAGCCTAGAGTGACCATGGGCATTATGTCCCAGACTGGAGAAGAGATGGAGGATAAATAGTGGCAGGGGGTCAGGTGCTGGGGGGAACAGGCATGGGGGCAGGTGGGATGAGGAGTCAAATGGTGGGGGTTCAGGTGCCTTGGAGGGGCATGCATAGAGGAGGCAACTGGCGAGAGGGGGCAGGTGATAGATGCGTGTTGGCATGGTGGGGGGCAAGGTGCAGGGGGCAGGCCATTTGACTCTCCTGTTACCTTCACTCCTGCCATCTGCCCCTTACCAGTATTTGCTCCACCACAGTGCAGCGTGGGGAGAGATTTTAGATGATCCTCCAGTAGTGATTCTGTATCATATTTACTTGATTCTAAGATAAGGATTTCCTTCCATGTAACATGGAGGAAAAGCCCCTTGTCTTAGAATCGAGTACAAGGTATAATGGGGGATGGGGAGAAGGGGAATCTAGATTCATACAGAATCATATAGAATCTTATTTTGGGGGAGTCGTCTTAAATTCAATGTCATTTTGGATTTGGGAAAATATGGTATATGGACAATTATAACATTATAAATTTTCTATGTATGGCATCTAATTATTGGGCCTTCAATTCAAAGCCATCTTGGATTCAGGTAAATACAAAACTTAAGCATTGGGCTGATTCAACAAGATGGTTAGGAACATTTTAAATTATAAACGTTAAGGATTCCATTTACTTAAAGGGACAGGTCACATATGCCTATGTACCTTGCTCATTTGGGGCTGCATTAAGGCTTTGGTAGATTTAAAATTCATTTGATTTTTAGAGGACATAACTGAGTCTTATTTCTCCAGATGCTCCAGTATTTTGTAGTATATTTAAGATAAGGTATATACATTAGCATTTTTTTCTGAATATATTTCTTGTTCCAGGTCAGATCAGCCAAATCAGTTGGAAATCATATCAACTGAGCAGAACTCAGTCGTTTAAAAAATCACATCAGTTGAGCAGGCAGAACTCAATCATTCTTAAACACCATGTATGGTACTACAACAGGCGAGCCTCCTCCATCCCAGGCTCTCACCCTGGGACTTCATATACTCCCAAATCCATTGGCAGGCATCCTATGTGCAGGCCCAAGCCTGGAGGTCTTAGGGTTTGGATGCCCCCACTTGATCTTAGCCCACAAGAGGCTGAGATGCTTGATCTGAGCCAAAAGGCTGAGATTAGTATTTCTGAGCCTTTTTTTTGTTTGGAAAGTCTTGATCTGAAGCAAAAAAGAAAAGCTTTGTTACATTTACTGTAAGATGATCAGTGTACAAAATGTATAAATTATAACAATGGCAAACCTATATAATTAACTTGTGGTTGTATTTGAGAGGTGGACAAAAAATACTTGACCTTTAAAGGGTAGAGGTTGCAGGGAATGGGGAAAGTGACCTTTTCTTTGTTTTGGTTGTAATAACACTTTAAATGCCTTGTGATCTCCCTTTTTATTTGTGAATTATTTTTCCTTGGTTTATAATGGCTGGAAAGTTGTCTCAGGTTTGGTTTTGTAAATGAAGATATAGAGTAAGTCTCAATTTAATCTGTGTTCATATTTTATATGGACATACAAACCAAAGTTCGGAATCTTTAACATATTTTATTATAATACCAAATGTTTTGTGTTAAGATTTTGTTCATTTTCTTTAGATTAACCCAATAAATAATTCTCGATTAAGTGGGAAATATTCTAATTGGGTCTGAAATTATTTTGAGTGTGTGCTGTTTATTCTGGTATGATAAACAAAGGACGGGGACTTGAAATTACAGGTTTACTTAAGTTATTTGCAACAAGTGTATACCCAGCAACCTTTCGCTAAAAAAGCTCATTGTGGTTGCACCTTTGCTTCATACATAAGAGTCTTTCTTGAATAATTCTTTAAACCAAATTTCTTTGCCAACTGTTAGGTGTTTGAAGGCTTAAAGCTAAAAGATGCTTCAGATTGTAACACATGATCAAATACGTCATTTGCTGATAAACTCGACCTGGTTTCATTTGTTCTTGGAACTTCTCTTCTTCCTTCCACTGTGTTGCAGTTTTTCCTTAACATCTGGCTCTATCTTGGTTTTTTTTTTCTGTTGGTCTTCAGCCAAAGTCTGTGCTGGATTTGTGTGAAGTCTGTGTCAAAAACCTTGAAATCTCCGGTAAAGCAGGAACATATTGGATCTGTCTAAATGTTTGGCTGAGTCTGTACAGCTTTTTGACTCTTCAATCTTATACAGCTGATTGAGAGATTTGAAGTAATTTACTTTAAAATATTTCCATAGAATCTTAGAACAAAACTGGAGTTAAAACTATAACAGAATAGTCCACAAACTTTTGGAAATCACTTGAACTTGGAATAGCTTTAGAAGGGCATTCACATGGTCGTTTAAACAAACATAAGCCTTAAATTAAATCATTTTGCAAGTCATGAAGGGAAGATAAACAGGATGTGATGTGGAGGGGGCGTAAGTGATATTGCATCGTTTAGAATTTCAAGCAAAGGTGATGAATAAGTCTAGTTTACCAAATTTCCACACTATGCCATGGTGTCTTGGTAGTTTTGTTGAATATTACTTGGACTCCTAATGAATAGGGACCTGCCTAAATTGCAGCAGAAGTATGCTGTGCAGCAGCTTCTTTAATCTTGTTCTTTTTGCCACGTGCCTCCCCCCTCCGCCACTGTTTGGCTAAGGGGCCCCGGTGGCCCTTCTGCTTGCTGCTGATCAGTCAGGAGGCAAAAACTGTGGTTTTTAAATATGCCACAGTTTTTGCCTCCTGGCTGATCAGCAGCTAGCAACAAGGGGCATTTTCCAGAGCAGCTCCTGGCATTTTCTTGCTAAACAGAATGTAGTTCTTCATGTCTTGACATCTTCTCACTGAGTACTTCTGTGTCGGCTACAAAAAGTCAACCATAACTTGGCCTTTCGTTGTCTTGTGGATATAGTACTCTGAAGCTGATGTACAGTTCCATAAATTTTGAAGTTGTGCGGCCCTGGATTTCTTGGTGTATGTATGTTTGCTCCCAGTGATGTGAACACCATTGCACTGTTGTATTTTTAAATTTTGTCAAGGGTAGTGCTTTGTGGGCTTGCTACCTGAGGAAATAAGTTTCTTAAGAAAAGGTGGTGTATGTAAATCTGTCAGATTTACTTTGCCGTTGTGGCAATGTCCTTTGAAGTGGTTGCCAGTTTTCTTGCTAATAAAATATCTTGTGCCATACTAATGGCATACTGGCAAATTAATGGAGAGCATTCAGCCAGTAAGTGTGGAGGAGGAGGGAAGGGGTGGTGTGGGGATAGGCAAACTAATGACATCTCAGAGATGTCAAATATGGTGATGTTCAGTGTAGGCTGGAGCATGCACTTAGGAGCCACTGGTGATCTTTGGACAGAATTTCATTGTGCAATTGTTATATCGTCTGAATATACGATATAGCATTTTTACAGCTTGCCAGCACTTCTTTCTGTTTGCACAATGCAATTCACTATGCATCAAGTAATTTTCTTCATTTTCATAATATTCAGCATAAGGTTGCCTCTTTTACTGATCTTCGTGGAGACCGGTTAGAGTTTTCCATCTGTGTGATGGTGGATGTCCTGCTGGCAGTTCTTTCTGTTTCAATTTTAGGCCTAC